GCTTCTGCATGCCCAGCAGAGGCTCAGAGAGCCAGCAGCGGAGCAGCCACTGCGAGTGCCGGTGGGCAAGGGAGGCGGGCGTGCCAGAGCGAGCAAGCGGGCGGGCGGGCTGCCAGGAGCCAGGTCCACACCCGCAGGGGCCCCGGGGGCACCAGAACAGGCTGCGTGTTGGCACCCGACAGGCCACAACGCATGCCAGGATGGGAGAGACACGAGCGGCCCCAGAGTGGGGAGGAGAGGGCGGGACACGGGGCTTCCTGGTGCGCGGGGGGGGGGGAACGCTCCCCACCCACGGCAAGCCCCAACAGCTCTGCACCTCACTGTGCTCTGACAGGACCTCCCTGACTGGAGGAGAGACAGGCTGGCCTCGCTGAGGACCAGGAACACAGCCAGCCTCACTGCTGAGTCGCTTGATCTTTGGGGCTGGGGGGAGCACTCGCTTTTCTGGAGACCTTCGAGGAGGGAGCTGCACACGCCCCCCCGGCCGTACCCTGTGAAGGCTGCCCACCCCCAACTTGGTTCACAACCCCCCCCCTGCTACCACAGCACAGACTGAGCAGAGACCGCACCCGGCATCAACTCCACCGAAGCCATAGCCAGGATGAGTCCCGCGGCCAATGGGAAGGGGTGGTGGTGGAGGCTGCAGGATTTCCAAGTGATGCTCAGCTCAGCTCAGCCCCCCACCGCCCGCCAGGGAACCGGCCACTGTGCAGAAGGCCAAGAGCAGGCCACAATCCAGGGGGGGGGGGGCGAGTGGACGCTACCCTCCTGCCATCAGGATCTCACCCGGCAGCACCCCGCCCCTTGGGTTGCCAGGGCTCCAGGGCACAGGAACGGGGCTCGTGGGCAAGACCAGGGTGGTGTCATGGATAGACACAGCAGAGTCGGGCCCTGGGCGAGCTGGGCTTGAACCCCCGCAACTGCCACGGAAGGTCGCTGGGTGACCTCGAGCCCACCACAAACTCTCAGCCTGGCCCACCTCAGAGGACTGTTGTTGTCAGAAAATAGAGAACTGCTTTTCTAGAAGCAGCTCTAAATCCCAACGGGGAAGAAAAACCCGGTATAAATAAAGGCAAGAAGGAGAGAAGTGAGGCCCGAGAGACAGAAGAAGAAGAAGAAGCAGACATTGAGAAGAGATTGGATTCATACCCCATGGCCCTTCACTACCCGAAGGAGTCTCAGAGCGGCTGACAAACTCCTTTCCCTTCCCCTCCCCACAACCTCCTGGGAGGTAGGTGGGGCTGAGAGAGCGCTGACAGAAACTGCACTTTTTTTCAAGAACAGCTCTGAGAGAACTTGTGGCTTGCCCAAGGTCACCCAGCCAGGTGCAAGTGGAGGAGTGGGGAATCAGACCTGGTTCTCCCAGATTAGAGTCCGCGCACTTCACCACCACACCAAACTGGCTCTCAGGAAGCCCACCTGACCAGCCCCTGTCCCCCAGTGGGATGCCTGGAGGCCTCAGGGAGAAGGGCCGGCGGCATTTTCCCAGGGGCTGTCCTCAGGACATTCCCATTGGCTGCTTGGCCGGGGGTGGGGTGGTCTCCTGCAGGCCTGACCTGCTCTTCGGCCGAAAGAAGAACCTGCATGCGAGGTAGATGGTCCTCAATCCCACTCCTGACCCAGGAGAGGCCTGCTGATCGGACCTGGGCCGGTGCCAAACCACGTGACACCTGGGACGGCACATGCCAGGCAAGGAGGAGGCCCACGAGGCTCTTGCGGCAGAGCAAGAAAGACGGTGTCTGGGGGCACCTTGAACCACACACGGATCGTGCCCTCAGCGGGGGCGCCGTTCTCACAAGCCAAAGGCCCCGTTCTCTCTTCTCCCGACGGAAGGACGTGGAAGGCCTCACTCTCCCCCCCACCAAGGACCACGCCTGCCACGCCTGCCGCCCACCGCATCTGCTGCTTACTTGTGCCGGTGGATGATGGCATTGAAGAGGCGCCCGTCGCGCCAGCTGGTGGTGAAGTTGTCACAGCGCAGGCCCTGGTAGCCTTCCACCATGCGCTGAGACCACAGCAGCAGCTTCTCCTTGGCGGTCATGTCCTCCGACTGGCCGCTCACCTGGATGTCGGAGATCTTTGGGCGAGAGCAGAAGAGGCAGGGGGCGGCGTGAGAACGGAGACTGCGGAGGGAGAAGCCCCACACGCCCGGATACGGAGCCCCAGGCCCAGGGCGGTAGCAGTGCCCAGCACCGCCCCCCCTGCCCAGCCTGACCTCCCACACCCAGGGATGCTGAGGGCATGGGAACTGGCCTGGTCCCCCCCCTCCCCGGTGCTCTGCTGCTCCAGGAGGCTCCTTGCCAAGGCTCCCTCTCTGAGCAGGCAGCACCACCCCAGGCAAGGCCTGGCAGGGAGGGGCACGCTCAGGGTCCAGAAGGACACATCCCTCACCCTCGCCCCCCACCCCCACCCCAGGGCACAAGCAGCAGCAGGAGTTGCATCAGCATCGGAGGCAGGAAAACCTCGTATCCCGGAGCAACGAACCAGTGAGTCAGCCCCAGCAAGCCACAAGATCATGTTCTGCTTTCAGTCCTGCCCGGTGGCACACCCACAGCCCCATCCCCCCCCCCACTGCCACAGTGCCAGCCACGCCCCGAACCCTCACCAGCCACCCGGCTGAGGCCTCAGCCGAGCAGGGGAACCAGCAAGGAGTTGTATGTTGTGGGGGGGGGGGCACATCTGGGGGGGGGGGAGAATGGGCACAAGGAGGGAGGGAGGGAGGGAGGGCCAGCTCCCCCACCCACAAAGCACTTGGAGGCTCTGCAGGGACTCCCCAGTCAACAGTCAAGAGCTGGCTGGACCCACAGAGATGGGGAGGCGGCTACGCTGCTTCCCCCTTCCCAAGCAGCACCGCTGAGTGGCCTGGAAGGAGAGTGGGGGGGGGAGGCTTCCACAAAAGCAATTTCCGTGAGAGAAAGCGGGTGCGTGGAGGGACACACACCAAACCCTCCCGGAGAGTGATGCCAACGACATTTTTTCCTCCGGTGAAGCCCAAGTGCAGAGCTGCCCGGCTGGCTGGCTGGCTGGGGCATTCCTAGGCCTGAATGTCCCCTCAAAGGAGGAGGTTCCTTCCCCCCCC